GTAAAAATATATGTAGAATAATGCAAAATGGCACATCCCATTTGGCTCTCGTACAAGAAACATTAGTTTGGTAAAGGAAACTTTTATCTAGGAAACCTCATGAACCCAACCTTTGCTACTTTTAGCAAAAGTGGAATGCCAAACTCCTCGAGCATATGTGCGTGTTAATAACGCAATCGTCGCTACGCAAACATTTGAAATAATAACCAGAGACGTTTGTGCTGTAACAATTAATGTTACCGTTGGAAACCTTAATAGACAATACGTTTACTGTTTCAGTGCCAGGTTCTTACGTTAATATTAGGTTCTTGTTTCAGACGCTCCCAAGAACTTGTGACATTACTGCCGAAAGTGTTAAACCAGGCCAGAAAATTTAACACTTTCGGAAGTGAGTCTATTTTTGAGCGTTTCAACATTTTCCCTGCTGAACTCAAGCTTTTCTGAAGTTATTAAATATGTTATGAGCTGAATACACGGATCAAGTGTTTACAATTTTTCCGAAGTGATTGAAAACTTTTGTAAAGTTCAGTACTGTTCGAAGTTATTCTGTACGTGCTATTTTTTCTGACATGGTACAGTACTTTCCAAAGTGATCCTAAGCTTTTCTCAAGTTATTCAATACTTTCATAAGTGATTCTGAACTTTTCCAAATTAATTCCAATCTTTCCTATTGTCATGTAATGTCAGTAAGCCAGATCTCGTTTTTGGAAACGTAACTACAGTGCACTCTCTACAACTCAAGTTATAGAATTATCGAGGGCTAGAATAAAAATCCCATATAAATTCGCTATCGACACTCATTTTTATTATGGCTATATAAATCGATTTCGAGTTAGTGAACATCGAGTTGTGGAGAGTCGACTATACTTCATATATGTTGCCAAAATCGAGACCTTTTTGATGTGTCACAATTGAGTGGCTTACCGATAATAATCAGTACTCTCTTAAGTGCATCCTGTTGAAAAACTATTAAAAAATTCGTGGAAGTGAGGAGGATCTCTCGGTTTTGACGGTCTAATTGACCTACATTTGGAAGCAACCAGCGCTCTTATTGCCTATCGTATAGTATGAGATAACCTGTTTTTACACATTGCAGATGCATGCTAATCCAACGCATCGTTTGTTGCTTCTCTGTCAGGTGAGCTGATAATAACGGAGTAGCAACCGCGAGTGGTTAATCATTCTGTTGCTCAATTATGTCTGTACGTGTATGTCGTGTAAGTGTTTCAGTACTTTCTGAAGTTTTTCTGTAGTAATTCAGTATTCTTCAAACTGATTCTGAGATTTTCTTAAGTGTTTCAGTACTTTCAGAAGAGATTTTGAACTTTTTTTTTAAATGGTTCTGTTCTCCCTAAAGTGTTTCCGATTTTTATGGAGTGATTAAATATTTTCTGAAGGGATTCCAAACTTTTCTGAAGTGATTAAGTTATTACAAAATGATCCAGCTCTTAAAGAAGTGATTGTAAACTTGAGGGAATTGATACAGTACTTTCCAATTGTTCGTGAAGTGATTCAGTCCTTTCCGAAATTCTTCAGTCCTTACAGAAGCGAGTACAAACCTTCTAGAAAGATTGAGTATTTTCCAAAGAGATTCAGAAATTATCATAAGTCATTCAAAACTATCCGAAGAATTTCAGAGCTTTTCTGAAGTGTTTCATTACTTTCAGAATTGATTTCAAACTATCTGGAATTATTCAATATTTTTCGGAGTGATTCCAAACATTTCGGAAGTGATTCAGTATTTTCAGGAGTGATTCTGAATTTTTCTGAAGTGATTCAGTACTTTCTGAAATGATTCAGTGTTTTCGGAAGTGATTTTGAACATTTTGAAGCGATTCAGATTTTTGAAGTGATTCCGAACGTTCCTGAAGTGATTCAGTGTATTTCTAACTGATTCAATTATTTCCGAAGTGATTCCGTTCTTGCGGGATGATTCAGTACCTTTTAATGTGAATCCGAAATTTTATAAAGTGATTCAATATTATCCGAAGAGATTCCGAGCTTAAAGTGATGCAATACTTTCCGAAGTGATTCAGTGCTTTCTGAAATAATTCAGTACCTTTCGAAGTGATCATGAACATTTTCAAAGTGATTCGAACATTCTTGAAGATATTCAGTATTTTTCGAACTGATTTCGAACATTTCTGAAGTGAATCAGTGCATTTCTAAGAGATTCAATTATTTTCAAAGTGAACTTTCCGCAATAATTCAGTATTTTCCAAAGTGATTTTGAATATTTATTAAGTGTTTCCTGTCTTTTTTAAAGTTATTTAGTACTTTGTGAAGTAACTCTTAACATTTCTGAAGTGATTCAGTACTTTCTGAAGTGATTCCAGTGGTATTATTTAACTATGTTTACAAAAGGTGTAAGCCATTTCAAATTTAATATTTATTAAAAAAATCTTCCTGAATGCATGGGTCGCTAAATACCTTAAATTTAAAGTTGTTTCTCAATTTTAAAGAATTTAGTTTTCCCCTGAACATGTCTACCCCTGAACATATTTTTTTTTTTTTTTTTTTTCCGTGCACTTGTCTACTAGGGAAACTACCCATTTCACATTAATATATGTTTTAAATGTTTCTCTGATATGTTTAGCATGAACGGAAGTCACTTCAAATTTAATTCTTTTCATGATTTTTACCTACCCGAGGTGCAGGCATTTTCAAGTTTTACATATTTTTCATTTTTTCCTGAAGCTGTCTACCAGGGGCGCAAGCTATTTTCAATTTGGTAGTTTTTGTTATCAAATTCGCTGAACATGTATATCAGGGATACAGCCATTCCAAATTTAAAGTTTTTATATTTTTTTTTTTCCAGAAAATGTTTATCAGGTGCAATCCATTTCAAATTTAACGATTGTGTATCTCTGATCGTGTATATCAGGGGCGCAGACTATTTCAAAGTTCAACCTGAACATATTTACCAGATGCACCAGCTATTTCTAATTTTCATCCGAACTGGTGTACCAGGGGCGCAAGCCACTTGAAATTTAACATTTTTATTCAACCTTTACCGCATCTTGTCTACCAGGAGCGCTAACTATTTCAAATTTTATATATTTTTTAAGATTTCCAGATTTAACATTTTTCCCTGATGTATATTAGGGGCACTATGTACTTTAAATGGAACGATTTTAATCATTTTAAACATGCCAACCGGGAGCGCAAGTCATTTCAAATATATCCTTTTTAAATGTTTTCCAGAACGTGTTTATCCAGGGCGCAACACATTTCAAATTTTAACATTTTGATAATTTTTCCCCGAACTTGGCATTTCAAATTTACTGATTTTTATATTTACCTGACCATGTATATCAGACGCTAGTTACTTCAAATTTAATATCTTTTTAAACTTTCCGTCGAGCTTGTTAATTGAGGGCGCATATGTTTGAGGGGACTGACTTGAGTGTAGTGTATTTTAAATATATAACTTTTGGGGTGAGATTTTGCTATCTTTGGATTGCTGTATTTTACCTATTTTGTAAATATTTTTTTCGGTTTGCAGCTAAGTAGTTCAGTGTTCACTCGGCTGTCGACAGAAGCAGACCACTCTCAATGTGGGTCACGCGATCGTCTGTTTACTTGGCAGCAACCATTTTGTGGTCCTCCTCATTGTTCTTCGTCAGCAGTTCTTTCGGTCGATGCGTCGTCGACTTTGGAAAGCAACCGTTTCGTGATGAGTGTGTGAGTGCTGACCACGTTTTGCGTCCATTGCTGCAATGGAAGCGCTCTGCCCCCCGATGGCGTAATTGCCATACAATGAAAACACTGGAAGCGGCTTCAGTTCTGATGGAGGAGGCTTTTTGGATAGCGGAAGATAAAGTGTTTATGGTGTTGTACCTTTTGACTATCGGTTTAAGATGTATTGTGTAGTGACCAAGAATCCTCAGCTCTGTAAAGTTAATTCGTTTGAGCCTTGTCAAATAAATTAATATACAAAAAAAAAGCTAAGTAAATGTCGACTACCCAAAACTACAGCACTGATTAGCAGGACACGTGTGTATGAGAAAAGCTTATGAAAAAAATTACGTTACCAATTATTTATGGGTACTGATAAGTTTGACTTACGGTTTAGAGACTTTGCAGTCAATTGAATTGTTTATAAGATAGTTTGAACATACTGTACTGTAAGAGACGTGTGTGTGAGAAAATTTGCGAAATAAATCTAAGGGCACCGGTGGGCTTCTAACCTGATACTGATAAGGTACACGAAATATTTGGCTAATGACGTGTAAACGGGAATAAAATCTGGCAAATTCAGCAACCTCAAGTCATGAATTTCGGAAAATGTCAATTTTTGATTTACAAATGTACAGCACACTGTAGGGAAACGATCCCGATAGCGTGGCCATAACGTGCCATGGATATGCATCCTTAAAATTTGCAGTCTTGGACAAAGTTGAATAATTGACAAAGAACCTGCTTTGGTGGGCTCACTGTAGTTGAGTCTGAAAGCCTCCTTAATAAAGCTAAATAATAATAATAATAGTTGAGTCACAGGTCTTTGATGTGAATTTTGTGAGGCTCAATGAATGAGATTTAATAATGATTTTCAGAACACTGCAACAAACACTAAAAATCATCTCAAAGTGACTTTCACGGAAACATAAAAAAAAAAAAGTTAGAGCTTCAATGGACGTCAACTGAACACAAATGGATCTAGTGTGGGTGACCTTTAAGAGATAGACAAATATTTCTTCTGCAAAGTAGCTTCAAATCATCTCAGCTACAACTTTGCTGAAGAACAATCGTTTTTAGCTTCAAATGATAAAGTGGGTTTACTTGGTTGGTGAAATTAATTGAAAAGTCAGGGTATAAAAATCAGTTGTATTTACATTGCTTCTCTCGATAAAGTCACCGATTTGTGAACTGCAGTCACAGATTAAACACGAAGTCGTAATGCTATCATTTTATTATGTTTTCTTTCTGGATGCTGCAAGATATTGCATCAATTAAGTTTTTTAACCATGCTTATACTATTCTATTAAAACCTCTTGCAGCTCAAAATGAACGGACGAGAGGTGGACTATTCCTTATTAGCATATGATTGTTTTCACATGAGCCAGAAAGGGAACGCGTAAGTAGATTACACCTTTCTCCACTTGCTTTTGGACCACCGTAGAAACTTCCAAGGGACCATCCATAAATGACGTAGCACATGTTTGAACACATGACCAATTACCACTCGTAGCATATTTGGCTGAAACCACCCCTAAAATGCTACAACATTTATGCATGCTCCCCAATAAGCACATCTTTCTTACTCTCACTTCTCTTCTTTCCGTTTCTTCTTCCTTTTCCAATAGGTACGCTGGCACTGCGCTGTGGAACAATCTGCTGGAATCGTCGGGAAAGAAAAGCACCAACTGGCGACCGCTGTTCGAAGATTTCAAATGCCCCACCGAAAAGACACCCTACCTTTACACCTACGATAATAGCTAAAACTCTGCCAAACTGAAAGGTGCTGTGCTTTTGTGCATTCCTCGCCCTGTGCGCGCTTTAATTTAATTTAATTTATTCCACCAAACTCTTGCAACGCAAGAAAGTCTGTACCTTGCAGTCAACTTGATTGATTTCAACTAAACCCGTAAGTTAGGTAAGTTGAATAAAACTGTGCTAATTGAGCATCCAAAATCAAAACGATCCACCATGTACGTACAATCTCAAAAGAAACCCCCCTTAAGAGTATTGCGATTGCAGTTACTTGAAAGAGCATCATCTCAAAGGCAACAACAATAAAAAAAACAACTCACCTGCATAAAAACGATTCACTTTAATTGATTATTGTTACCGATTAAGAAACTGCCGGCTCGGCTCATTGAGTAGCCTTGTGGCCCATTGAGCTCTATTTCGATCCAGTCTCGATCCAACATTGACAACGACGACGACGACGATGGTGTGCCTGAAGAGATACTTAGTCTTCGATGCGACAGCGTGAAAAACGAAACTAACTTGAACATGTAGATTTGCTGTCACCGATAATGCATTTTTGTTTGCATAGTTGAGCAATGCACGCGCACGCTTATGTAGGTAGATATGCACTTGTTTGCATGCAAAGTTTCGACTGGGAAGAAGCCATAAAAAAAAGTTCGCCGACAGTTTTAATGTAGTCCGCAAAGTACCTACGTAAGTGCATTTGTTTGCAATTCGAGAAACAATTGAAAAGTGCAGCGCCACTCTCAACTCCGGCAGAGCCCAAGCTGCACCGCCTCCAAAGGTACCTCCTCTTTCCCTTTTGGTACACGATAGGTAGTTAGCCCACGAGGATTCGTATTTTACCCACCGAAACTGGCACGGATTGGATTTGTGATTTATGTAATCTAATTAAAATATGGGAGTCGAGTTGGTTTCGGGTTGTTAGCCGCTCGGATGCTGTAAATGGGCTGGTTCTGTTTTTGAGTGACGGTACCGTGTATAATTTATGATCTTTTATATTCCTTTGTTGAATTGAATGGGCTGTTGAAATGGGAGCAAAAGAGGATAGATCATACAAAAGATACTTGTTAGCAACGGAACATAAAATACTAACTGATGGTTTTGGAAGCGGACGATGATTTGTTGGCTATTTCTATACGATTGCAATTGAGTTTGGTATGAAGCTTTCGATTGCTAGGTAGCCAACAATAAGCAATCGCTTGTATTAAACAATTACAGGCTGCTACATTTGGTCCTGAAAGCATGGAAATCATTGCATCATTATTTTAATCGATTGCCCGTAAAAAAAAAGAACCATAGAGGTACAATGAAATGTATTGTAACCATACAAAAGAGTTTATTGGATTTACAATAAATTGTATGCTCCACATCGATCAACTTACAATAGAATGTATTGTTTTCACAATAGCATCTTACCATAGATGCTATGAGGAAATATGCAATAGAACAAGGGGGTTGTAATACCCAAGTAACATTTAAGATTTTATCATGGGTTTAAAGCATTCTAGAAGTCTAAATCATGGTCTGCGGAACCCTCATTAAACCCAAATTGTTACTTGGGTATATCTTTACCATACGAGAATCCCCCCGGAACCACGCTAAAGCGACGACTTCAAGGAGGCTGGCACTTCTCATACTCTCAATGCTAGCGTTGCTAGATCGATGCTCCTCTCTCCATTCCAAGTGCCTTCCCAACAAACAATTCACAGTCACAAATAAGCATACACATTGAATAAATGCTTTATAACAGTGTAGAATTCGGAATAAAACAGGATGTCGAATTATGTGCTGAAAAAAGCTCATTGAGATCGATTGATGCGCCTTTATTCCGCCGTTTGCTCTGATATGATTAATTTACTTATTAAAAGCTTTATAAACGTTGACTGTCTTCCTGATTCAGAACCAGAAGTTTGATCTAATAACAAACTAAATAAGTGTAATTTGCAAATACATTGACGCTTTAACTCGACTGTTTGAAATTGATTTAATAACATGCTTTATTATACGTCTAATAATGGTTTTCTAGCTTCATTATTAGATTCCATTACATTGCTTAACAATTTTGCTGAATGAAGGTGAATACAGTCAGCATAATAGCTCTTATACCACTATGCGTCCATGTTTTAATTTCATTATTTGTAAATGCTTTACAAACGGCGTATTCATTCATTATTCCACAACACTGCTTCAGTCTAACAACAAAACGAATTTCATAGCATAGTGGCTACCGTTTCCGCATTCCAAGTAGAAGGTTGCGAGTTCAATCCCAGCCTCAACCTTTTTTTCTTTATTTTCTATGCCTAATTAATTTAAATCGTAATCATAGATCGTATCACTCACGAAAACCAATTCATAGATCTATCGAAAAGAATAACATCCTTTCCATCGAAATTAGATAGATGGAGAAGTAACGTTGGTCTAATGTTAAACAACTATGAATTAATTAATCATTCTCACATCTCCTTGAATTAGCTGGAGTTACGGCTGGGAGTGCTGATAGATTCAAGCTTTTATTACTTATTTAGCTGCCCATATGATGTATTCTACGATAGCTCAGATGGAAAGGCAAGCGGCTGGTGATCGGAAGGCAATGGTTCGAATCACATTTAACGACATGTGTGTATGAATGTATGTATGTATGTATGTATGTATGCAATAAATTTTCTAGGATCTGTGTGTGTGGAGGCCCGAGCAAAGTCGGATATCAAAATACTATCAAAATGATATCTAATTTTGTTTTTGAAATCATGTTGACAACATATTTTGATATGCTATTTTGATAATTTCTGTTGAATTCATATATTGATATTGTTTTGATATTGTTAAAAATATTATTTAAAACATAATTTTAGATTTTATAAAAAAAACGCATCCACACTTAATCACTGAAATCTACATTTATTTTTATTTTTTCTTCTAACGAGTCAATCAGGTTTTTTTAAGGAACATTTTTTTTTTCCTTTGGTTTGTTTTTTCCGTCGATCTTGTTTTCCGTGCTGAGCACCAATGCTACCGACGTGCCAGGAAGGCAGCTCCCACACCTGGACCCTACCTATAGACCCATCAACTCATGAACCGGGACCAACGGCTTTACTTCCCATCCGAAGGAAGGCGTTATCAGAGATGTTATTGCCTCAGAACATCCCGGCGGCGCCGACTGGGTTTGAACCCAGGCCTGCTGGGGTGAGAGGTAATTTACAACATTTATTGATATTAATCTGCCAGTGAAATGAATTTACAAATCGATATAAAATTGATTGCATCCAGTTCGTCTGTAATACTTATACTAATACATTGTCGAATATAGCAATTTAACTTTCGTAGACTTAATCGGTTTCTTAGCTCATATTTAAATATGTTGTCATAAATTTTATTAATTATCAGTTCTCTCCCAATAAAATAAATAATAAACTTCAATCGTTCGTCATATTTTAACTTTTGTTATTTGTCTATAATGACAAAAGCGATTCATTATATACTTTCTTGTAATGTGTACCACTGGAGGATTCTTTCCAATTCTGTACTTTAATATGGCACCATTTGCACTTTATTGACAACATTATTTGATTTTGAATCTTGCTATCAACCAAAAGATTTCAAAACATTCAGATTACTAAATTTGATATCATGATATCAAAATAATAACTAATTAAGTTTTTTATTTTTTTTTTTCGTTTTCCTATCATAGTTATAATAACATATTGAATAATTATTTTGTTTATTATTAACGAAATTACTAACATAAAAACGCATGCATGGATGTGTTATCAAGAAAACATTATTTGTTATCTTTTAAATATCCTCCATGTACCATTTAGATCTCATTTTTGTTATGATTACTGTTATGTTATGTTATGTTATCACGAACGCTTATATCAAAATATCAAACTAAGTTTTCATTTTGTTTCCATTCTCTGCTCGGGGGATGCGTGCTTCTACAGAAATAATAACACAACAATCACTAACCATGCTCTGCCCGTTCTTATTTTCGTATTAAATGTTCCGTAGTTGAATAATCGGTTTTATAAATGTATAATAGTGTCTAAATTAAACATTATCTCACATGAGAATCAAGCGTCTATATACACTTTTATACCATCGCTGTTTATGAAAATAGTGATGTCTAGTAAACGCTGAATAATCAAAAATTTGATCGAATGAGCTCTGTTACAAGTTTTTTAAGTCGAATAAAAGCTTCTCGACATACCTTATTCAACACCAAATACTTCGATGTTGTGGATGAATAAATTCTCCAGATTTGCCTGAACAGAAGTTTTATTCAAAATAGTACAAGTTTTATTAAGCATGCAGTTGAATAAAATCGTCAAGAAGTCGTTTCTTCAATAGGAAATTGTTTCCTCTGGACACACGACATTCTCCACTTTAAGGACAGGCATCGCACTGTCACGCACCTTGGACAAAAGGAACACCACATGCTCCGGCGTTTCAAAAAAAGTAGAAGGGTCTGGGCACGAACGGAAGCTTGACGTAGGACCGCCAGTGGACGGAATAAATATGAAGAGCATTTAGTTCTTTTAATTGATCAATTATCTATTATCTCAGCTCTTTCCGTTTTTGAATTGTAGGCGTACCAAATTTGTAGTAATCTCTCATAATCGTCAAAAGTGCAGGAACTCAGCGATAAGTAAATTTGTCTCATGGTTTCCTGCGGAAAACCTTTTTTTTTTTTTCTTTATTATAAAGATTTTTAGCCATAGGCTAGTTCATCTTTTAGCGGAAAACCTAAAAAATCTGCCAGAAAATAAGGAAATTGACGAAAATTTTATTCAGTCTTGGAGTAGTACCAATAGACTGAGTGAATATTTACTTTACTTTTTTTCAAATTCGGGAATTTTTTCCCCTGAAAATCCTGGGAAAACATGCGGCAAATTTATTCATCGCTGAGTTCCTGCACTTTATTTCTTATTTCTGAGATAACTAAACTCAAATTTGGGCCGTTCTCATTCGCCGTGATATCACCTTAAAAGATATCGGCACCGGTGGTTAGCGTGATTACCTCTCACCCCAGCAGGCCTGGGTCCAATCTCAGTCGGCGCCACCGGCATGTTCTGAGGCATAACATCTCTGATCACGCCTTCCTTCCGGAAGTAAAGCCGTTGGTCCCCAGTTGAGTTAATGGTTCGATAGGTAGGGTCCAGGTGTTGGAGCTGCCTCCCTGGCGTCAGTAGCATTGGAGCTCAGCACGGAAAATAAAACTCGCGTCACTTTTCAATAAGTTCTATCTACATTGATCGATTCTTTTCATCGACACTCTCTTTCGTAAATAACTCGGCTTCTCAAATGTTGCCTGCCGTCTTTGTAGAATTAGATGCTAGATTGTTGCTTCTTCCAGTTTGATTACATGAGCATTTTGTGTGGTCGTTGGTTCTGAATATGGACAAACAGGCAGATGAATTCTATTCCTACTCTTTACTGTTATAAGCTTGGTGGCCCTGAAAATTGCCGTTTTGTTGCCAAAGTTGGTGATGATTTAACCTCCGAAACCAAACAGAGTGCGTCTCTGTCACTTCAAAACGTAAATGACATCCATGGCCGCTTACGCTTGGCGTGTTGAGTGTAGGTGACAGCATCACGGATCTTATTTTTCAGGAACACCTTCCGCACACCTCGTAAATCAGACCGGAGATACGTCAGCCAGACGACGGATGGTGGTTATCTTGAAAAATTTGCGTTTGGTTTTGAATATGGCGATGAGTGTGCAAAATATTACGCAATTCCATCCTCCTTATTCGCACGCGTCCGAGGATCGGAGGCGAATGCCACTTCGACTTGTTTCGTCTACTTACTACTCTCTGACGACTGTGCTGGGGAAGCAGCATATGCATGTAGGTAATTGGTGAATTTGTTAGTTAATTCGACGCTTTTGGACAATGCTGGACATTTACCAATTTTTCAATAGTTTCTTGTTAAAAATCAACATTCGAAAGCATTGTTATCGATGTGTAGCCATGTTTCTGATCGATTGGCGATAAATTTATTGAAATTGGAACAGGGGCAGCTGAGTTATTAACGTTCAAAATCTTTCTTAATTTGTTACATGTTCCATTTTCGGTTTTCACAAAGTGTACCCCCATATAGAAATCAAAGACGTAGTCCTACGTCAAAAAATCGTAAATCGGGATTAAAAACATCGATCTTCCAAAGATTGATTCAAAATCGCCCAATCCCAGCTTCTGATGAGATGGTTCTGTACGCACTCACGACTCGCATGGCCATGATCCGGAACGTGCTGCTCAGTTTCCTTTGGTTCTGCTTTGATTCATGTGCTGCAAATCAGGCTGAACCTCCATACCTCAGTATCTAGCCAGAAGATGCCTCTTGATATTGCTGGGAATAGAGTTGTTCAGCATGATTCTAGCTATTGTGTTGATGGCCTTCCAAGCATTCTCACAGACATATTCGACGTGGCTGTTGAAGTTTAGCCAGTCATCGATCATCACTCAACTCCATCATCAGGTATATCAACACGCGCTTCGAGGCAAAGACGTGCGTTGGACCAAGGATGGAGTGTTGTGCAACTCCCGTTGTGATTCTAATCGATATCTATCCCATTTTTTTTCTCGTAGACCAGAACCAGGCTCTGAAAGTAACTCCTGAGAATCCTGCACAGGTAGTAAGGGACCCTCATTCTATGCAGCACTTTGGCAATGGCTTTTCATCTGCGCTGTTGAACGCATTCTTGACGTCGATCGTTATCACGGTGCAATATCGATCTCCTCTTCACTTCTGTTTGAAAGTCTTCTCGGCTCTCTCGACCATTGTCCGAATTACATCCACCGTTGATCTTTTTTCCGGAATCCAAACTGCCTCTCCAACAATCCAAAACAAAAGCTGATAGGGCTGATTAGGTTGAAGCATTGTCCCTTTCAATTGACGATGTTATATTGAATTCGAGAAGTTGCGATGTCGAGATCTCTTGAAAATTGAAAGTCAACTTTTATGTTAAATTCAATGAATGTTGCTGGCCATAAAGCAATGTTTTTTTTACAATTGCAAAACAGCAACAGGTTTTCCGTGATAAAAATGGTTGGTTGTTTGGTTGTCTTTATTAAGGAGATTTTCAGCCAGAGGCTGGTTCATCTCCGCGTGATAAAAATGATTTTTCCAGCAAACAGTAATTCAATACTAATAATTCATAGTAGGAGTGTAGTTATTATATTAAAGTAATGAATTAAAATTTAAAAGGTACATTGAATGAAAGACCTGTGCGTTGAAATGATTGATATTTGAATGAAAACGAGCTTAAAATCGTCAATTGTTAATTTTACCCCGTATGCACATTTTACCCCCGCTTCCCCTAACATTCACATTACAGCGAAGTGTAAGAATAACAATTATTCATAGCGTAGAGTTTGTGGATCCATGTTTAAAAACTCAAAAATTTAGTGAAATCTAGAGTAACATTTGAAATGGGCCTTTGTCCAAAACGTAAACAAACCAGAAAATTAATTTTAAATTTTTCTGCCACTATTCAATTCATATTTAAGCAAATTGAAGTATTTTAGGCATTTATATTGTTCACAATAACAATAGTAACTGTATCTCAGTACACAACCTCCAAAATATGCGGAAAGCTTGCGATAACAATTTAGTTTCATAAATTAATAAGCCTTTTTGTGAATCTTTCAATGGATAGGCCCTTTTTGCTAAGCCGTTATGCTTGTCATCACGAATGGTACGCCCTTTGCTAAGCCTTTTCGCAACGTCAAATAAATTCAAAAAAAATCATCGGCCCTGCCTCAACCAGTAGGGCCTAGCTTTGGTTTGAAATTTTTCAATAATTGGCCTTTCTACGTCACTAGACTTATCAATGAAATGAAATAAATAAATGGTTGGCCGTTTTAGCTTGCGGGCCTATTAAGGAATCGAAAAATTTCGTTGATCGGCCGTTTCGAAAATCGAGTTTTAAAGATTTTTCTCGATTATGCGGAATTTTCCTACACGATTAGTGGCTATCAAGCGGTACTAAAGAATGGATTTGTTTACGTTTTGGACATAGGCCCATTTCAAATGAAAAAAAAAAGGGATATAAAGCTGACAAAATGGGGGGTGGACAAAATCGGGAGCTAACAAAATCAGGAAAGCACTGTAATTGTATTGTTGTTCTATTGTTGAAAACTCTTACTATATGGGACGTATTGTACATCTATTGCAATAACAATATGTTAAAATTTCTTTTGCACATAAACGCACAATCAGGTCGATTGTTGGCAATAGATTTGAATGTTATTGTTTTTTTATGGTAATTGTATGGTTATTTTTTTCCGGGTGTGTTTCTGTAATTCCAATGGTCATTCATTACTTAAACAAAACATTACTTGTTATCGATAGAAGTGTGTTTCCGCCAAAATTAGCTACAATATACAATACATTGGGCTTAAATTTCGACCAGATTTGCAATACCCCTTATCTCTTCCCACCTGATGCGATAATTCGCACCATGATGAACACAGCACCCATCGTGCTTTCTTTGGTATGCGGTCATCGTTGCTACTGTATATTGTGAGTAACATTAAAATTTGATTCACCTACATAATACCTCTCGCCTACTTATACCTCTCGCTTTCGATATAAAAATATTGACGGCTTCGGACGGTGGGCTTATCCGTATTCGGTACCGTATGGGGAGTGTGCATTTCAACACTCACTGGTAGGATCGCACACCTCAGCATGGCTCTTGTAAATCCGAAACAAAACAAAATTTGATAATATCCAATGATGATAACTTCGTTCAATGAGAGCTCGAAACAGATCGCAACAAGTTGTGAGCTGGTTTTTGGCTTCGTTCTGCCGATTCGAGATACTCCAAGTTGATTTTAGTAGTGTTCATTCAGCCAAATACGAGTGACTCCGAGTTGTTTTTTGACGTCATAGTCGGAGGATTACAAGAACTTCCAATTTTTTTCAAGTATTTTGTCGCAAAAAAAAGTGTTAATTGAGCCAGCTTGCTCACACCAGTTCGAAGTATGTTGACAGCTATTTGTTGGCCAAAAATTCCGAGTTAGTGCGAGCAACTTCGAGCGAGTACGCGCTGTGCCATTGAACAAAGATGTAACACTGAGCCCCAGCTGACCGGCACTGAATGGTGGAGAAAATATGCAAAGTAGAGGCAACGAAGGCGGGAGTGTTTACATTTGAAATTATGATTGCTCATGATGATTCGAATAATGCGATGTGTAAACAAATAGCGCCAGACAACCCGTCGGAAGGAATTTGATGCAATTATCTGCTCACCTGGAAGGGCAACCCATTGAGGTGTTCGTAGAGAGTTGAAAAAAGCTCTTGGCTGAAAACGGGTTGAGTAAAGCTGATATTTTTTACAACTGATTGTTTGAACCTTAAATGAAATAATATAGGGGAAATGGATGTAATGTCGGCCTAAATGCCCCTAATTGGGGACCATACATAAATTAAGCAATCGACTAAATTTTCAATAGCGACCAAAATATCCATTAGTACCGTCTCAATGACAGATTCATCTAGATAAAATTGATAAATAGCAGATTTTTAGCGATGGGTCCAATCTTAGATCCATACGCCACCATTAGAGCCATTAACCTTATTATGAGTGATTTTGGAGCAAAGGGTGCTATGAATAATTGCTGCTACACATCTTTTCAATTGTCCAGTTATAACTTTTAAATAGATTTCCATGACTCTACACAGAAAAACATTCTGAATTTTAACCATCGCGTGAACTCTCCTTTCATTTAGTTTTTTTTTTTTTTTTGCTAGGGGACGATCCCAGCCTAGTGGTTAACAGCCATACCTCTCAGTGTGTGTGTGTGTTTTTTAATTGATTTGTTTTTCGTTGATCTAGTTTTCCGTAGTGAGTACCAATGGTAACGACGCAGAGTTACCATTTGTGTTACTAGGGAATCAAATGTCCCGGGAATCAACTACCCGGGAATCGGGAATTAAAAAAGTGCTTTGCCGGGAATAAAAGGACAACGCTTAAAAATCAGCATTAAATTTGGATTTTTTATGCGGAAATGTCCAACTTGATTTTGTTGCTACTTTTTCCGGATAGGGATTAACATGATTTTTTATTTTTTTTTTCAATATATTATTTGTTAGACTCAAATGTCCAAAAGCACTCCGAGGTCCGAGGTATAAACAGCAGGGAGACAAAATTAAGCGGTCTCTGCAAGCTCGCTCCAAGAGAACAATAGCAGTACTCTTGAAGAATACCGCTCCATCTTCTCAGACCACACCAAAAAGCGTTAACACGTTCTCCATTTTGCCAGTTGATGATCTGACACCTTGGAAAATCAAGAGGCAACGGAAATGCACCGAAACCCATTCCACCGGGTTTAAAACCCTGTAATTATGACAAGAACTTTCCGTCACTTCCAGGATCATCTAAAACCCCAGATGTCCCAGTTTTTCGACCAGAAAAGCAGCCCCCATGTTCACGTTTTCTGGTATTGTGGATAGCTTCTTCAGTATATTCAATATCTCTGACTCAACGAGGAGCATTATTAATTTAGTGCTGCCAATGGTGAAAACTCTTTTGAAGTAACTAGCTTCTAGGTGGTCCTTCCTTGCATCGATCATATCCTTTGATGGATAATTTTCCGAATGAGGTCGGGGATATGATCTCTGTTCTTCAGTGGAACTGTTGAAGTCTTATGCCAAAACTTGACGCATTTAAATTTTTAGTTAACAATTCACTTGCTGATGCATTTGCCCCTAGTGAAACATGGCTCTCTTCAGACAATGATCTTGCTTTCCACGATTTCAACATTATTCACCTTGATCGTGCAGATTCGAATGGAGAGGTGCTTCTGGGGATCAACAAGCTCCATTCCTTCTACATAATCGATCTGCCTTCGGTGACAGGCATTGAAGTAGTTGCATGTCAGGTTAATATTCGAGATAAATGCCTCAGTATTGCCTCAGTATATCTTCCACCGAAAACCGCGATCTCTCGTCAAAGTTTCGCGGATATCTGCACGGCTATGCTGGATCCACGGTTGATCTTGGGAGATTTTAACACTCACGGTACAGGCTGGGGGGAACTGTACGACGACAACCGCTCAACCTTGATGTACGACATGTGCGACTTCTTCAAAATGACAATTCTGAACACCGGGGAAGCAACACGAGTAGCCAAACCTCCAGCAAAAATAAGCAGACTAGACCTCTCACTTTGTTCGAGTTCACTATCGTTGGATTGCTCGTGGAAAGTAGTTCAAGATCCCTACGGTAGTGACCATTTGCCAATCAAAATTTCTATTACCAATGGTTCATCTTTTTTTTTTTTCCTTTGGTTTGTTTTTTCCGTCGATCTTGTTTTCCGTGCTGAGCACCAATCCTACCGACTAGCCAGGAAGGCAGCTCCCACATTTGGACCCTACCTATCGACCCATCAACTCATGAACCGGCTTTACTTTCCATCCGAAGGAAGGCGTGATCAGAAATGTTATGCCTCAGAACATCCGGGCGGCGCCGACTGGGATTGAACCCAGGCCTGCTGGGGTGCAATGGTTCATCTTCTACTCGCTCGGTTGACATCGCGTACGATCTTACAAAAAAACATTGACTGGCGAAAATTCGCGACCGCGGTTCTTGATGCCAGTCAATCGGTTGAAACACTTCCTCCACTGGACGAGCACTCCTTTCTCGCACGTCTTATCATCGATTGTGCGCTGCGAGCACAAACGAAACGTGTTCAAGGTGTTTCCGTTCGCAAGCGACCTCCTACTCCGTGGTGGGATATGAATTGCACCGACGCGAACAGCGAGAAGTCCGCCGCGTTTAAACGCTTCCGCAAACACTGTAAGGTCGAGGATTACGAGCGGTACACCGACCTCGAGAAAACGTTTAAAAGCTTGATTAAAGCCAAAAAACGCGGTTACTGGCGTCGGTTCGTCGATGGTTTGTCGCGTGAGACTTCCATGAGAACACTCCGGAATGTCAGCAGGAGAATGCGAAACGCGTCATCACCGATCAACGAAGACAAGGAGTACTCGGACAGTTGGATATTCAGCTTCGCGCGGAAAGTTTGCCCGGATTCGGTGTCGGTTCAAACCAACGTTCTCGATCGTCCGTCGGGTAATAACAAAATAGACTCCCCGTTTTCGATGGTGGAATTCTCACTTGCTCTCCTTTCATGTAACAATTCAGCTCCTGGAATGGATAGAATCAAGGTCAACTTGCTTAAAAATCTCCCAGATGTCGCGAAGAGACGCTTGTTGTACTTATTCAATCAATTTCTGGAGCACAACATTGTTCCGGATGACTGGAGGCAAGTAAGAGTTATCGCCATGCGAAAACCTGGTAAACCCGCGTCGGATTACAACTCGTACCATCCCATCGCGATGCTGTCCTGTATACGGAAATTGTTGGAGAAAATGATTCTTTTTCGTCTAGACAAATAGGTCGAGTCGAATGGTTTACTTTCAGATACGCAATTTGGATTTCAACTGAAATTCAACTGGCCTATGCGCAAAAACAGCAAATGGGTTCAGTTTTTTGGACATTAAGGGGGCTTTTGATTCTGTTTTTATCGATGTCCTTTCGGATAAACTCCACGATAGTGGGCTTTCACCAATTATGAACAACTATTTGAGCAACTTGTTGTCCGAGAAATATATGAGCTTCTCTCATGGAAACTCGGCAACTTCACGAATTAGTTACATGGGTCTCCCCCAGGGTTCATGTTTAAGCCCCCTTCTTTACAATTTTTATGTAATGAAAATTGCTCGCTAAGGCAGCTTGCAGATGACGGGGTTGTGTCCGTTATAGGGCCAAGTGCACCGGACCTGCAAGGACCATTGCAAGATACCTTAGACAATTTGTCTACTTGGGCTTTGAAGCTAGGTTTCGAATTCTCTCCGGAGAAAACTGAGTTGGTTGTTTTTTTTCTAGGAAGTATCATCCTGCACAGTTACAGTTTCAACTAAAGGGTAGAACAATCACTCAAAGTATATAGTAGGTATGTAGGTGTCTGGTTCGATTCAAAATACACATGGGGAAAACATATTGCGTATCTGAAACAAAAATGCCAACAAAGAATCAATTTTCTTCGTACAATTACTGGAACTTGGTGGGGAGCACACCCGGAAGATCTGATCAGGTTGTATCGAACAAGAGTATGGTAGCTTCTGCTTTCAATCCGCGGCAAAAACACATATCCTGAAGCAGCACGGGTTCAATACCGTTGCCTCCGAATCGCGCTTGGCTGTATGTACTCGACGCATACGATGAGCCTCGAAGTACTCGCGGGTGTTCTCCCACTGACAGATCGTTTCCGGTTTCTTATCCGTTGTGAAGTAATGAACCCATTGGTAACAGAAAAATTTGAGAAGCTGCTCGACAGAAATCCTCAAACTAGATTCATGAGTCTCTACTACGAGTACATGACGCTGGAGATTGGCCCTTCTTCATTTAATTCCTCTCGTGTTTGCCTCCAAGACTTTTATAGTTCCTCTGTAAATTTTGATCTGACCATGTTTCAAGAAATCCGTGGAATACCAGATCACTATTTTATATTTACTGATAGCCTTAGCTCGTTGGAGGCTATTCGATAAATGAGGCCGATGAAGGACTCCTCGTATTTTCTGACCGAAATCCGATCTAGATTGAGTACTTTATCTAACTGCTCCTATACTATCACCTTAGTTTGGGTCCCATCTCATTGCTCAATTCCGGGTAATGAGAAAGCGGACTCGCTAGCTAAGTTGGGCGCTATGGAAGGCGATATTTTTGATCGACAAATCGCCTTTGCGGAATTTTTCTCAATTACCCGTGAGCACGCCCTGATCAACTGGCAACAAAAATGGAATGAGAGTGATCTGGGAAGATGGTTACATTCTATTGTCCCACAGGTATCGATCAAGTCATGGATCAAAGGAATGAACATGAACCGTGACTTTATACGTGTCATGTCAAGGCTCATGTCCAATCACTGCTCGTTAGACTCGCATTTCTTCCGAATCGGGCTCGCAGGCAGCAATTTGTGCGTTTGTGGTAGTGGCTATCACGATATCGATTACGTGCTTTGGTCATGCACCCTACATTGTGTTGCTAGATCCGAGTTATCCGCATCCCTCAGGGCCCGAGGAAATCAACCTTTGCGGCCCGTTAGAGACATCTTGGCGAGCCGAGATCTCGAACATTTTAATTTAATTTACGTGTTTTTAAAACGGATCGATCTGAGAATTTAGTTGTTAGTGTCATCTTGTGTTCTCTCAAGTTGCTAGGTTTCCATCGGTGTACCCCCAAGTTTGTCTTTTTCTCCAGTATGTCGCTTAGTTCTAGATCAATAGCACATTGCTCTAAAAACCTTGTGTTCTCAATCCCTACCCTGCCACCCGTTTGCTACAATTTGTTACCCCTAACCTCGAGATAGCCGCGAGTAATCGGCCCCCGCTTTACTAACGTTAGTTTTAAGTAATTTTGTAACCTAAACGATGAGTATCGGCTCTGCAAAGCTACGGCAAATGAGCATCTTATACGTCAACCAGATCAAGAAACGGTTATGTCCTCAAGTTATAAACGAAAGAGAAAGTCGATGAAGAGAATCGATCAATGTTACTTAGGACCTAACCCAAGTAACAATTTTGGTTTTATGAGGGTTCTGATATGAGGGTTCTGATGTGTTAGACTGGTTGAATGCTATAAAACCTCGATAAAACCTGCAATGTTACTTGGGAATGCAATTTTCAGCTTGAAATGTCATCGAATCAACAGCAGTGACATCTGATGGAAAATGAATGCAGAATCTTCACAAAATGGTAAATTCCACATCTGAGTTCCCGGAAAACAAAATTTACTGAGTTCTTGATGTTTAACATGATGAGTTTTGGTTCAAGTCAGAAACTGACCACTTCCCCTTCACTGGGGCACCCGAAACATACCGAATTGGACCAATGTGGTTCTGGGCACTCCATTTGTGACCACCATTGCACTTGTTTTCGAAATCACCTGGGTTTTGTTGTGTGACATGGTATGATGTGTTTGCCATATTTCAGGTCGTTCAAGAGTCAAGACACGTACTCACCAGAAAATGCCATATCTCCGGAATCAGTAGACCATTTCCAAAAAAAATATTCAATAGCGTTCTATGAGACCAAGTTGAATTGGAACCTAGCAGGACATCGAGGCAGAGGCAGACCCAGAGCTCATGGGTCGAGTATCCTCCCAGAATGGAAATCTTTCACGTTGGCCCTATGTACCACTAGGGGTGTGCAGTAGACTGATGCAAATTTTGACATTTTCGCTCCACAGTGCTCATACGGTTCAAAATCAGGTCCTGACTACCCTTCCAAAATTTAAACTCATTGATATGAAACTGACTTGGCACAAACCATTTGAAGTTTATATGGAAATTACTATGGAAAAACCAAATGATTTGTTCATACTCATCTAACAATTTACCATATCGCACTACTTTAAAAAATATAACTGAGCTAGTAGCAAATATGGAAAAAGGTAAGAAGACTATGAACAAAAAGTTTGGGTTTCCCATAGTAATTTCCATATAAACTTCAAATGGTTTGTGCCAAGTCAGTTTCTTTTCAAAGGAGTTCAAATGTTAGGCGACTAATCAGGACCCGATTTGGAACGGTTTGAGCACTGTGGTGCGAAAATGTCAAAATTTGCATCAGTCTCGTGTGCAGGATACTTGAGAGTGGGAGTGACAGTGAGAGTACTATGGAACCATGACAGCTTTCATCTGGGAGTAGTTGTATCCTATTTGTGGTGCAGTGCTTGCTAAGAATGAAACCGATGCTATTCTGCCCCGAGTAAGAAAGTGAGTGAATGTTGCGGCTGCCTCTTAGAGATGGTTCGGGTGGGGTTCTTGTATGATAATCATAGTAAAATTCGAGTAAGACATGAAAAATCGGGTTTAGGTCAGATTCGGATAGGGTTTGAGATTAAGTACAATAAAATGTGTCGGATTGGCATCCGTTATGGCTTTTATCAATTTTTACATATGTATTGAAGATCTCCGTCATTAGAACGTGCTTTGTTTTTTTTCTTTATTCACGTGGTCTTTGAAAGAAAACCCTAATAAAAAAAAACAAGTCACTGAAACACCTACACGCATAACAAATGGCACGAACATCACATCTTCTTCTTATTCTTCTTATTCTTCTTCTTCTTCTTCTTCTTCTTCTTCTTCGCATTTCAAGCTTATTGCATATCGCATATTAGCTTATTGCGTGCTCTCAAACTTAGTGTTCTAGATGCACTTCCACAGTTATTAATTGAGAGCTTTTTGATGCCTGTACCATTTTTGCATTGATATGATTGTGTGGCAAGTCCAATCATACTTCTATGCCCAGGGAAGGTCGAGAAATTTTCCAACCCGAAAAATTCCTAGACCGGAACCGGGAATCGAACCTAGCCACCTCCAGCATGGTCTTGCTTTGTAGCTGCGCCTTTACCGACTGAGCTAAGGGAGGCTTTATCACATGTCAGGGTTGATTTCTTACATCCTCTGCATTAATTTCTAACAGCAAATGTAATGGCAGTTCTTACAATGGAATGTAGTGTACAAGCAAGTTGTCCGAGAATAAATATTTCCATACGAAACTTTGGCGAAATGATTTTCTATCCGCAATGAATCAGGGAAACAAACTTTGATCAAAAACTTAGGAAACAGAAAAATAAAAAAAAAAATCTGATGACCACATTACAGCGTGCGGTGAAACATTGAAAATTCTGCATATTTTTATGTGAATGTGTAATTGAACCTTACATTTCCCGGTTATGTGCACTAATTGAAAACTTACCTTGAGAATTGTATGAAATTGCTCTATCCATCTAGATCAAGTATTATTAACCCTAAAAATGTATAGAAAAATTGCGATAGAACATTTTGATACTAGCGTCAAATGAAAGAGGAGTACCTCAGATTTTGTTTGCCCTGTAACGTGGGTAGATCACTTTTTCGTGGTACGCTACGGGATGTAAGATCTACCACCGAATCCTAGTCGTGACTGCTTCAAACTAGGGGAACAGGATTTTTCAGTAATCGTTCCTTTGACATCAAGTATCGTAAAATGGGGTCTCTTTCATAATGCGGGTAAATATGATAGTATAATATAATGATTAAATTTACTCTCCGCGCTTTTCCTGAATTAGAAACTACGGTTCCATATTGTAGCTTAGGGTATTTCATATATAGTTATATGTTGCATATTTTACAAACATATTAAAAACCATTTGCGTGTTTTTAGCCTATTTGAAAAAAAAACTTCAAGGGACAGCCCTATGGGGTTGTACGCAATGGTGACGTAGGACTACGTGGTCTTATATGATAAATGGTAATGTGTATCTTTATTCAGCAAGGTATTAATCAGAACCATATTTTAATTATTTTCCTTACCTCATTTTTATATTTTCATTTTCTGTTCTATTTACTATCGTCTTGAATCTGATGAAATATTGCTTGGAGGCAATCCCCATGATTGTGCTGGGTAATTAAAATTTTTATTCAACAGATTGCGTTCAACGTATCCACATCGTATAATGGCCGCATCAAGCAGACCGCTCGTAAGTCCACCGGAGGAAAGGCTCCTCTCAAACAGATGGCCACCGGAGGAGTGAAGAAGTCTGATCGCTACCGGCCAGGAACTGTCGCCCTGCGTGAGATCCGTCGTTACCAGAAATCGACCGAGCTGCTGACTGCAAGTTGCCTTTCAAGCGTCTGGTCCGTGAAATCGCCCAAAACTTCAAGACCGATCTGTGCTTCCAGAGCTCGGCCGTTGATGGCCCTTCAGGAATTCAGCGAGGCCTATCTGGTCGGTCTGTTCGCCATCCATGCCAAGCGTGTCACAATTAATTCATGTTCCATATTCGGTTTTCACAATGTGTACCCCCATATAAAAATCACAGACGTCCTACGTCAAAACCGTACGGTCGTGTCATGGATGCAACCTCTTATTCTTTTTGTCAACATTATTTTCATAAGGCAAATCAACTGATTTCTTATCGCGAACTTTGCTAACGCTGCTTTCGAGCATTTAAAAGTTCAATAAATCATCAAAACCTCTTTCACGTTGGAAATCGATTTGTGGCCCTGAAAAGGGCCGATTGATTGTTTGGATGGTACAAATTTACTTGGAGCTAGCGTACTTGGTGACGGCCTTGGTTCCTTCAGAGACAGCGTGCTTGGCCAACTCACCCGGCAGCAGCAGACGGACAGCAGTTTGGATTTCGCGGGAGGTGATCGTCGAGCGTTTGTTGTATTGAGCCAGACCTCAGCAGCAATACGTTCGAAGATGTCATTGACGAAGCTGTTCATGATGCTCATGGCCTTCGACGAGACTCCGGTGTCCGGGTGGACATGCTTCAACACCTTGTAGATGTAGATGGCATAGCTTTCTTTCCTGCGCTGTCTCCTATTCTTCTTCTCTCCCTTGACGAGAACTTTCTGCGCCTTCTTGGCGGCCTTTGCACTGGTTTTCGGTGCCATAGTTTAGCTGTTCGCTTCGGTAGAGAATAACTGATAGTCGTTTCGACGGTGGTGTCTCGTTTTGTGCCCGTAGCATAAGAAGCGAAACTCCTCCCCTTTTCAGTATTTTGCTTCCCACTGTATGTATTGTACCCTCGCTGTATTAGTAATATGCTACTCGACGCAGGTACAAGTATACCCTCGATGAGTTAAATAAACCGACCTATCTGGTCGGTCTGTTCGCCATTCACGCCAAGCGTGTCACAATAATGCCAAAGGACATTCAGCTGGCTCTTCGTATTTGTGGTGAACGCTCTTAATTTTTCTGTCGAAATCTATCAAAACCGGCCCTTTTCAGAGCCACTAAAAGATTCCACAAGAGAGTTGGGAAGGAAATTTCTGCTGCTTACAACTGATCGCATCACAGTGAATCCTGATCTAAAAGTTGCAACCAGCAAGTGCCCTAGAACCAAAAGCGATGCGATGCTATGAAGATGACTGTAAAGGGGCTTAGAAGCAGAAGGGTGAAAGCCAATTCGCTTTTTCGATTTCCTCTTTTGTGATGACCATAGCTTCCTATTTCGCACTATTTCTGCTATGCTCTTCTATCATCCACAACAATAAACGTATCAATGAATGTGTTTGCCGTCGAGTTAACGTTATCTCACCGTGCACTTTGTAGTTGTTCCTCCGTGAATGACCACAACTAATCCACTTGCACAGAGAACTACATAGATGGGTGCATGGGATAAGCTTTCCATCTTCAATGTTCAAGCACATTAATTCATTCTATAGATCAATTCACAGCGCCGGCCACGTCCTCCCGGTCTTTTGGGGAGGGAAGGATGATTAGTTCAACGTCCGGTTGTTACTAGAGACCGAAAATACCTCTACATCTCCACGGCTATCTCGGGAAGGATAGTAGTGTAAGTGAGGTAGGTTATTTTTAGATTAGGATTCACTGTGGCAAGTGAAGCGATCGGTTAAAGCAGAATTTGTTCTTTATTTAAATCTAGTGGGGATAGAATAAGGCAAAGTGCAAATTGCAAGGGGGGGGGGATTGAACTCCCTACCTTCTGCTCAGTAAGCAGAAACGATAACCACTGAACTACAGAACCTCGTCGTAATGCTATATCGACATGTTTCGTCTACTTACTACTCTCTGACGACTGTGCTGGGGAAGCAGCATATGCATGTACGTAATTGGTGGATTTGTTAAGTGTACCCCCATATAGAAATCAAAGACGTAGTCCTACGTCAAAATTATGAATATACTTTTAAAAACTTTCAATTTTGCTCCGTTTTACGGTATCAATAAATTATACATCGCATAAGTTTAACATGTTCAAGAGCTGTTTTTTAGCAAAAAGAAATAAAAAATCAAATATGGACATTTTGAGATATTTAGGGTAGTTGTTCCAGTAATAGTGGTGTACCTATAGTCGCGGTATGGAGGTTGTGCCGAAATAGTGAGGAGGATCCCGATAAGATTATTTTTCATCGGTAGCTGTCCTAAAATAAAGTATATTTGCATATTTCAAACTTAAAATTGGCCCAAAAATTACGGAAAATCATTAATTTTCCATAAGATTTTTACTCCTTTGCACCTACAGTTGCGGTAGTGTTCCTATAATAGTGGAACCCATAAGAAACCAACGCATTCCACTATTATAGGAACCAAAGTTAGCAACTACTACAACTATTGGAACAAGATGAGTTTTCTAAAATTGTATGCAATTGTATTACAGTGTAATATTTTTCTATCAAAAAAGAGGTTGAAAACTATTGATCAACGTTTAACAATTGTGTGTACATCGTATATTTATTGTTTAATTAATAAATTGGCTTAGTACCTACACTACTGGCTCTCCCGCTCTAGATTTAATTTTTTTTACGCGAACACATTTTTTTTTAATTTTTCCAAGAAAACTTTATTGTCCTCAACAACTTTGGGTCTGACGCCATTTTGATCAAAAGTGTCATTTCCGTGCTTCAATTTTTTGAAAAGTTTGTAGGTTCCACTTTGAAAATTTTAAAAGATCTAAAATGGCCGAGCAGCGCCGGTGGTGTAGTGGTAAGCGTGGTTTCCTCTCACCCCAAAAGGCCTGGGTTCAATCCCATTCGGTGCCGCCAGGATTTTCTGAGGCGTAGCATTGATACTCATAGTACGGAAAAGAAAATCAACGGAAAACAAATCAAGGAAAAAAAAAAAATAAAAGGGCCGAATTTTAGACAAATTCTGAATCAAGCAATTATGCAAAGTATCATGCGATTCGGAAAAGGTCGAGTTTTACCCATTCGTCATTTGACGTGGAACTGCTCAAAACTGAAGGAGCAGGAAGTGAAGAAGATGGAAGAGAAGCCCACCCGAAAAAAAAATTACAGTGAAATTTTCAGTGGAAACAATGCTCTAACATTAATATTTATTGTCGACAATAAAAATGATTGTTATAATGTTGTACTCTTCCGAAAACGGCAAAACTGCTACCTAGCTGTACAATGAATGTACATAATAAAATGTTGTTACAATGATTTTTATCGTATTTTTCATTTATTTTATTGTTAACATGATTCGATCATGAACAATAATGAACAACTCTATAACAATAAAAATTGTTGTTACATTAAATATTGGTGTATTTTCATTGTGGGTTACTTCACGAACAATAAAAATAAATCTGATTGAAGCATGCAGACTATGAGAGGGTCAGCAACACTGCCAATGTAATCAAGATAGGCGCTGCTCGTATGGCTCTGGCTTTGACAGTTCGTTTGGCTCAAAACCAGGCAGTCCGCGTCCGCTCATATCTTATCCTAGACCCTCTCTAAAGCTTAATGGAGATCTTTTCCGTGCAGTCAATAATCATACAATAATAATAAAAAATTCCACCACTTGAAGATGTCAGGAAGGAACTCTCAGGTGGAAGCATATTTCATGGGCGATTCTCTCCAGTCGAATGCATTAACTTATCAACGACGCTCAACCACCGAGGAGACGTGACCTAGGGATATCGAGCGCAGGGGAGTTGGCCTGCATTTCTCACAAGTTCCGAATCGAATCTCGATCCATAACTAGTAAAAAAAGGACCACCCGTAACAGACATATCACCCCCTTCCCTTCCCGGGGCAATGTTTTATTTTCTCGATTTATTTTTAAAGTCGATAAAGTAGATCTGTCAGGCCAACACATACACTCTAAAGTACACTGTTATTTTTATTAATCAATAAATTCGCCAACCAACAGTAAAATAACAATAATATATAATGTTATTGAAAAAAAATTATATGGGAAAATCACGAAAATTTCATTGTTAAGATACTTAACAACCCCCCTTTTTTATTGTAAATTTTCCATTTACCATGAAATTTATTGTTTTGTACAACATAAATCAAGGTAAATTTATTGTAGACGTAACAATATAAATCATTGTTAAGACAATAATTTTCGTCTTATTGTTACATTGTTTTTTAATGTATTTTTGTTGTTATTTTTTTTCGGGCAGGACTCGTTGGAAGAGATAAATAAGGGCGATAATCTGATTGTTGAGGTGAACGGCGTACGCAGCACTCACCCGGAAAGTAAACGAGGACCCGGAGTTGAAGGGAGATCGTGGTGAAAACTAGCTGCTCCCAGAAAGGCGATTTGCTTTAAGAGCTGATATAGGACCCTTCGATGGTCAGTGTGCTCACTCGGATACCCCTTGGAGTAAATGGAATGGGCTTCAGTCATCAAGCGAGAAACTGCCAAATACCCAGACAGATCTAAAATATGCAGAAGATGCGATGCGAAGCAGTCAAGGAGAATGTTTTGCAAAAAAGAGGACGGATACGATCATGCCACGGGTTCATGCCCAGCATACAAATATGCGATGACAAGACAACAACAGTTAGAGCAAACATTATTTTTCAACGTACGCTCTCTCTTGCAGGTGAGTCAAATTGGGAGTAATATTAGTTTTTCTCAATCTCAAACAAGAAAGTTCACTCGGGAAATAACGCTTTGCGAAATTCCCATCGAATTTTCCCTAGTGAAAACATCTCGCTTGCGATAATGAACTTTTGGCGATATTTCCAACACTTATAGCGACACAGGTCAGCAACTGTTGTGACAGTGGAAAACGGAATGTTTCAAATAATGATTTCATGCTTGGGCAGTTAATGGCACTGCTGGTGTAGTGGTAAGCATGACTGCCTATCACCCCAAAGGGCCTGGGGGTTCTCAATCCCAATCGGCACCGTCGGGATTTTCTGAGGCATAAAATCTCTGATCATGCTTTTCTTCGCAAGGGAAGTAAAGCCGTTGGTCCCCGGTCCATGAGTTTTGATCGGTTGATAGGTAGGTAGGGTCCAGGTCTGGGAGCTGCCGCCTGTCTGGTATCGGTAACTCAGTATGGAAAACAAGATCGACGGAAAACAAATTGATGAAAATGAAAATGCTTGGGCAGTGGAGCAGATACACGAACGCAAGAAGATTACTGGAAGCTCTGGCTGATCGCTGGTGGCAAATCTGAACTGGAGACTTTGCGAAAGGTACGGAAACCTGTGGCAATGCGAAGGGCGAGTGGAAGTGGAAGATGAAGGCTTTTGACAAAGACTAGTTTGTCGAAGGATCTGCACGCGGACGAATTTCTCGCAAAAAGCTCTTACGTTTGCTTCATGGCCTGTAAATTTTTATATGAGCTAATTTTTTCGAATAGGTTGTGCGCAAAGATATGGAGCCTCTGAGTGGGCCTGATGCATGGATTTTCTCTTAGTATCCCTCATTTAAACAACACAGTTAGTTGAGGTTGAAGTGACTATATAAATAAATAAATAAGTAAATAAACAATCCAATGGTTCTTCTTCAGCTTAAAAAACGCATCCCAATTAACAATCTAAATAATTGCAAGATTTATTCTTATTTTATCATTGTTTTATCATAGCATCCCTTGAAGCCTGTTGTTGTATTATGATTTTATGTGATTGTCATAAAATCAGTCCGTCAATTCGTCTATAAAACTATTTTAGGATTACTACATTAAAACTCAGACTTCGTAAGCTTAACAGTAGCTGTAAGGTGGTACTGTATCACTGCTTATAAGTTAAGAATAAAACCAGAATAAACCATGCAATTATGTTTTATGGCATACTTTTCCATGAACGATATAAAACTTGAAGCACTCCTTTACCTTCATTACAACTATTATTCTTATCAGAGGCCTAAAATTCACAGATAAGAAATATACTACAACAATAACAACAACAAAGTCTGAAACTTCTTTCCAATAACAAAAAACTTCGAAAATGAGTGCGTGATTTTTTTATAAATCGAGTTGAACGTAAGAATTATTAAGGGGAGAGTACACTTTGATTTTTCCAAAAAATGCGATTTTTTGGCATAAAATGTTCCTTGGGATGTATACTTTAATTTAGAAAAGACTCCAAGTCCGCCAGAATATTCCTTACCGCTTTACGAAGTGATTTCCTAAAACATGTACCGGCGCGCTGAGAGAGCAATTTTATCTTTAAACGCGTTTATCTCGAACCGGGGTTTTTTCACACTGGCGTGGGAAATAGCTCTAACCAGTTATCATCATATCGCCTAGGTTTTCTTGATCAGAAATAAATTCTGCTTAGAAATACGTATCCACATTTTCGATTTTGTAAGCATTTTTATGGTGAAAAAAAAAAGGAATTTTTTCCACATATCATTACTAATCAGGATTTTTGTTCGATTTATGTTCCAGGATCACATGGAAAGGAGTATTTTACCACGCCGTTTTCAGACTTCCGCGCGAGGACGCCCGCGCGACCTTGTGCCCCGACCACGGGGAGACGCCAATCGAGTTCAAAAAAAATACAAATTGTAGTTGGAAGGATGACTAATAAATGGGTTATAACATATTTGCCCTCTCTGAGTGTTTTATTGCTTAAAAAAATTACGAAAATGCCTTACTTTTGGACGTTCAAAGTGTACTACCCCCTTAAGAAGAATATTCGGCAAATAATGGATTTATCATCGCAAAACAACATCAACGCAAATTCACAACATGATATGAATACGACGCATGTTAATCCAGTCATTCCGGATGCCAAGAATACAGAGCTGATTAAAAGGGATACCTTCAGGAGTGACGTTGACACTGATGTTAACGCACGTAAATAAATCGATTAAGATTTAAGAAAAGAAAACCCTTGCAGTGCTTTTGAACACGATGAAGATAAGACGATCGCCAATCTGGAGCTCCTGGATAATCTACAGTTATGGGCTCTCTCATATAACAAAAGGCACAGTGCGGTGAAGAGCTCCTTAGAAATATTGAACGAGCGGCTATTCGATACACTTCCAAAATATCCACGAACCCTTTTTAAAACTTCACTTTTACATCTTGATTACAAGAGAAAATAGAAGGATCGCTTGAAATATAGACTATTTGACAGGTTGCCAAGGTTTTTGTTTCATTTTGATTCGCTGTACCAAATAAAACAAGCAAGCTAGCTATAGAGCTACCATATAACTGAACGCTCTCAACTTGGACTAGGAAATGCTAAGATACAACCATTAGTTTTGTGTGTTTGCTTTAGAATTCCAATCTAAGAGAATATGTCATATTGAGGCATTCTTAAGGAGTGGCAAGCTATAACGAAAAAAAAAATGATTGCGTAGGAGAAATGTTCACACAATATCAATAATAACACTTTTATATATAGGAGATAAAACGCTTTCATGCATCTATGTATAAATAAATAAATAATATGCGACTTGTTATTGGTCACCAGTAGTAACAGTTTTGTACTAAATAGATAATCTTTTAATGATTCTTTAATGCTTATGTACATACATTTAAAATATCCCTATATTTTAGTATTCATAAGGCGCAATGAATTCATGCTTCTATTTTGAATAATAATCACTATAAATATTGCACGACATGCTCTGAAACATATACAGATTGGTTCAAAATTGTAATAAAGTCGTTTTATTTTCAATATACAACATTATCTGTTATTATTAAAAACTGGCATTGATCATGATTTCACATCGAACATAGAAAGAATAAAACCACAATTTATATTTATAAATCATCATCACCCAACTTAAAACCTTCAAGGTTGTCAAAATGTTTGACGTATCATGCTTCTTCAGGAGCGATTTATGCGGTTGTATTATAGTTTTATGGTAGTCATCAAAAGGTCACCATTTTCTATATTTTACTTTAAAATTAAAAACAAAAATGCAACGTGCACGAGGAAGAAGTGATCTATGGCTCCGGTATCGCCGATTAACCGTAAGTTCCAGAAATCATGTTTTACCCTTCTTACAAAGAAGGGTATAGATATCACTTGAAAAACCGACATCGATCTGAGGCCCGGAGGGCCGAGTGTCATATACCATTCGACTCAGCTCGACGAGATCGAAACATGTCTGTGTGTGTGTGTATGTGTGTATGTGTGTGTGTATGTAACGAAATGAATGCGCTCACGTTTCTCAGCAACCGCTCAACCGATTTGGACAAACTCGGCGCCAAATGATAGGACACATTGGACACACTTGGACATGTTCCGGGTACCCCGGGGAAGTTGCTTGAATATGAATTGAATTAAAACCCATTAAATCACATTAAAATACGATGATAAGGTGATTGGTAGCCTCACCAAATAGACCACACCCGGATATATTCCGGGTACCCCCAGGCATTTGCGTAGCGTCACTGGATGACACGGGGGTGGGGGGCTTGGTCACTGATAATGACAATAAAATAAATAAACTTGAATAAGTAAGAAGGGTCTGATCACACCATAGGTGGATAAATTCGGGTTTTTTTTTGGTTTTAGAGGTTAACATAGAACAAAAATCTTTCCTGAATAAGGTCCAACTGATAAAAGTAAGTTTTGTTCATTTTTCAGGTCTCTAGAACGCCCGCCAATTATCAATCCCTACCGGAGGCGACCTCCTTCCGATGTGACCCCAAGGAGCCACAGAGGTCACACACCAATGAAAAAAATCTCAAATTTAGAGGAAGATTTAAACAATTTAATGCAAAAAAACCCCAAACGTTTGCATTGTTTCATTTGCTCACAAAAAAATTCCAAAAATCGTCGAGTTTTTGACGTGTTACTTGTATTTCCCCCCTTAATCATTGCACTGGGCCAATTGACCATGACATGGCTTTATAGCGGTTGACAGGAGGTTGTTAAAGCAATGTGGTCGATGAGCAATTTATGCGGTTGTATTATAGTTTTATGGTAGCCATCAAAAAGTTGTTAAAACTTTCTAACCATGAGGAGGTTTTGTGCTTTCATTTTTAAAAACCACGTGTAGAGTATGATAAAACTGACATAACACCTATGCTGCCTTAATGATTGCACTGGGCCAATAGGCCATTAAATGGCTTTATAGCGGTTGAGTGGAGATTGTTAAGAACATGTGGTCGTCAGTGAAGGTTTTATAATTTGGTTATATCAACTGCTATAAAACCTCAATTAAACAAAAAATGTTGCTTGGGATCACTTTTCTGGGAGCGCCTGGTTTCCACCATGAACTCCCATCAAATACGGAAATATACGGATTGAATCTAAGTGCAATTCCGCTGGTTCTTGTCAAGCACGGAATAGCAAATATTGAAATGTACGGTTATCCAAGCTCAAGCCGATTTTCATCTTCAACACATTTTCATTCTGACTTGAAAATATCAAATTGATTCTTTTATTTTTGGGTGTGTTTTTTTTCATGTTTCTCTCTTTGTTTTCTTGCTGCATTATTTTCAAATGTATTATTCCTTTTGTTTTCTTCTTTTATTTTTATCGTTCTACCATAGGTGGTAAACCCCTTTCTTCCTTTCGCCTTAGCCGTTCCTTCAAATCTATTCTTCTACGCCTTATGTCGATACTTTTAACGATTGTGTGCTTAATTGTACCCAGTAATAAAAAAGGTGTTGTTTACATTTCTCCAGCCCACAACGCAAACCTATGCTGATCGGATGCGTATAATGACGCAGCGAAGTGACGAACCAAGGCGTGAAAACGATCAATTAGCCAATTTGCAAAGGGCGAAACGTAGATGTAATATATAGCTGCACCTCTCTCTCTCTGGGGAAATGTTTGCGCGCCTAAAGATTGCAAACTTGATCGCAAAGTGCATGTTGAGCATGAGAAATGCCCATGGCTGCACGATGCAGCGCGATGAGTTATGCCTTGGCAATGCGCCTCACCCTGGAGTCAGAGAAGCCCCTGCCTCTGCCTCTATTATTTGCACACTCATTCAGGGGCATCATCGTTCAGTAGGTCACTGTGGTGTATGCCCACCTACCAACACCGTACACTTGAGGGACGACGGACGTGCGTATGTACCTACCTACCGACTGCAGGTGCTCAAGGAAAGATATGAAACTGCGTTACGTAAAGAAAGTGAAATTTTAAACGATATATGCATTGCGAATGTCAAGTAGGTGAAGTTCCATCAATCTCTCGGGGGACGAACCGGGGGCTGTCTGCTAGGTAAAATAACTGTCGCACTCATATTCATTGGTATCGCAACGGTGTCATTATTATTGTTATCATTTAGTGTTATTTATTGATTCTCTGCCATTGCATAATTAACACTTTGTCGATGGATGGTTGGATATTATGTTCCGTTTGCACTATGGATAACGCAATTTGGTTTGTTGTTGTTAGCTGTTGTCGTATGTGTAGAAGTATGGGTTTTCCCGCGTAGGGCATCGGAAGTTCACGTACGGTGGATCCCAGTTTTCACGTTTCTTGCCGGGTGGCTCCAGCATGTTGTTCCACAGAGCGGCAGCTGCACGACTGGAACGGAAAGAATGCATAGTTTAACCTAAATGTTGATTGTTCATCTGACGTTAAATTGTTATCTATCTTAAAAATACTTACGCATGACCCTTCTGACTCAAATGAAAACAATCATAGGAAAGCAGCGTATAGTCAACTCCTTTGTCATCATTTAACTGGAAGGATAAAAATTTAAATTCAATACATCTTCTCAATACCTATTCATTGCACCAATCATCTTACAGTGAGCCGCTTTGTCCACGGTTGATGCACCACGGCGAATTCGTCGAGTCCACGAAACTCGTCCATCTGCGGTACTTCCTCCTCAACCTTTTTGTACTGTCTCTGAATGCGAGCCCATCTGTGACCAAACAATCAACCAATTAACAATTCCCACACCACCTTAGCCACATCTCATCGTACCTGGATCGGGAGGATTCCGTAGAATTGTGAATCGGGCCAACCCAGCAAGGACACTCGCCATGGTGCAAAATCCAACATATAGTTGGCTTTCCCGGCAGGGATACCACCTTTTCCACGTCCGGCATGGAAACAATGTTAACAAACGTCCGCGGCAAGTTGTCCCTCAGGTAACGGAGCGTCGTCAGAAGATTCCTACGATGTTTCATCGGCAGTGATTCCGGATTTCTCATCGTGCACACATATGCACAGATGTCGTTGCCTCCGATGGTCAGCGTGAGGATTTTCCAATCTTTCTTGAAGTTCACCCGCCGATCAGATTTGATTCGCGTCACCATCTGACGCGCCATGTGGGGAAGCTCTTTGGAGATGGCACCGATTTCTGCGTTATTGAACTGCGAATCCCAGTGGAAACTGTATGAATCGCGGTATGAGTAACCTACCAACTGGGGATGTTAAAAGATTTGCTTATTGTATTTGCTTTCACAAACAAAATAAAAACCGTCTTACCTTAGAATTATAAACTTTTAAAATGTTAGGAAGTGTGGTGGCATTTCGCCAGTTCCACTGGCCACCGATGCACCAGGATAGTCCCCGGTTTTCTGTGTATAACTCTAGGAAACTAGTGGCGGATGCTCCGCTGGCTGTGATTACCGAATCTCCGATCGCGGCAATCACGTTGATATCACCTGGAAATATGAAAATACCTTGTTAATGCTTGCAAAGTTGAAAAACTAAAAATTAAAAATTGTCGAAGCTCAATCATCACTGCACACTTAGTAAAATTGATACTAATTTATAAGCTCTTAGACTGAAATATACGAGCGTCAATTTCGACATAAAATTGAGTCATAAAAGACGTGAAATCTAGCTCAATCAAACGTACTTTTGAACTGTTCAGTCTCGGAGCACTTAATTTTACATGACATGTTTGTTTACGTCTCATCCTTCATGTCAAAGATGGATTCCGTCACGGGTAAGAATAGGTATTTATAAGTGTGTATGTATGTCAATATGATACTCTATTGTAAAATGTAGCGCTTTGGTACATTCAAAATGGTTAATTTTTATTCCTTCTGGGCTGAGCGAAAAACAATCAAACTTTTGCCATTATAAACACATGTAAATTAACAGCAGAAACGTGTAATTCTACATGGAGGATTACATGATGCACATGATCATCATGTAACTTTACATGGCTTGCATGTAAACTTACATGACAAGCTGGTAAATTATCTTTAGTTTCTAGTGTGTATGTTATTTTACATTTAAACAAAAACAAATTTAATTTTAGAATCGATCTTCTCCGATTGGCATGACATTTTCTGTAACTTTTTGTTGTGAGCGAATCTTCACATTTTTGCTCAAATTCGGCCAATTTCAACCTTAAAATATTCTGTTTGTATAATGTCTTTCTGAGAATAGGGGAAATGCAGGTAATGTCGACCTAAGTGTCCCTTATTTGGGCCCATACATAAATTCAGCAATCAACTAAATTTTCAATAGCAACCAAAAATATCCATTAGAAACGTCCCAATAACGCGTTCGTCTAGATAAAATTGATAAATAGCAGACTTTTAGGGATGGGCCCAAATTAGGGACATGTAGGCTGACATTACCTACATTTCCCCTACATATATATATTTTTTAAAGCAGGTTCGGAAAAAAACCGGTTGTATACCGGTGTGGTTCACCAAAGCACCACACGTGTTCTCGACTGCTACACACCGTGTTTGATTTAGATGCTGGTTGTGTTTCCATTGAAGGTTGTAAACCAACGCGTGTTTCGTTAACACGACACGGTTTATGTTTGGTTTTCGTAAACGAGTTTGGTATGTAAAAAATGAAAAACACAAAACCGAACCAAGGTTGTGTAGCGGTAGTGTTTTCGGGTTGATATTTTACGAACGTGCAAGAGGTGGCAGAATATTTGTTTACATTTTTAAAATTATCTCGAAACATCTTACTCATACAAACAATTTATGACCGCCACCATTTCAAAATCCAAGAAGACGACTTTCGGTTCAAGAAAAACTGGGAAATACTGTCAAGTACCCCACAAAATGGGTATTTTTGGAATCGGGATGACGTGTAAGGACCTAAAATCAATGACTGACGCCATTTTGAAATCCAAGATGGCAACATCCTGGTAGAAAAAAACTGGGAAATATTGTCAAATAAATACTATACAATATGGGTGTTTTTGGAATCGTGATGACATGTGGGGATCGGAAATCGATGATTTCATTTTGAAATCCAAGATGGTGGCTTCCAGTTAGTGAAAAACTGGGAAATACTGTCAAATACCCTACAATATGGATATTTTTTGAATCGGGATGACATGTGGGGATCGGAAATCGATGTCTGTAGCCATTTTGAATTTCAATATGGCGACTTCCAGCTAGAGAAAAACAGGGAAGTTCTGCCAATACCCCACAATATGTGTATTTTTGGAATCGGGATGACGTGGTGGGACCGGAAATCAGTGACTGACGCCATTTTGAAATCCAAGATGGTGAAATCCGGGTAGAAAAAAAAACTGGGAAATATTGTCAAATACTATACAATATGGGTATTTTTTGAATCTGGATGATGTGTAGGAATCGGAAATCAATGTCTGACGCCATTTTGAAATCCAAGATGGCGACTTTCGGTTAGAGAAAAACAGGGAAATACTGTCAATACCCCACAATATGAGTATTTTTGGAATCGTGTTGTATAGCAAACAACCCAGCAGACTTCCTTCGATTTCCAGTTGCTACACGTCATCCTGATTCCAAAAATGTCCATATTGTGGGGTATTTGACAGCCTTTCCCAGTTATCTAACTAGAAGCCGCCATCTTGGATTTAAAAATGGCGTCATACGTCGATTTCCGGATCCTAAACTTCATCGCGATTCCAAAAAAATATCCATATTGTGCGATATTTGACAGTATTTTTCAGTTTTTCTCCAACCGGAAGCCGCCATATTGGATTTCAAATTGGCGTCAGACATCAATTTCCGGTTCTCTCGTGTAACCACGATTCCAAAAATATCCATATTGCGGAATATTTGACAGTTTGGCACTTTGAATTTTGATCATCTATGCTTTAATTCACTTGCACATTCGGCAGCACTGCATTTACAGCTTCTTCGCCCAACCGTTTAACCATGTTCAGCAAAAACCAGGGTCGGTTTGCAAACACTGAACAGAATCCGTGGTTGATATTCCATACACCCGACCCCAAACTCGTTTACACAGGTAAACGGTGCTGATGCATTCGGTTGTGTTTTCGAAACCGAGGCCCGGTGTTGGTTTCAGTTTTGTTTACCGTGTAAATGAGATGAAAACTTTACACGGCGTGCACCATTCGTTCACACGTGTTGCGATTTTGAGGAAAGTACCAGTAGGTACACCGGTTGATTTTCTTGTCAACCACTGAAAAAGTTTACGAAAAATGCTAACTTTTGGAATGTTTGTAACTAGAAAACTGACCAAAACCATAGAACAAGAACTTTTGGTCATTTTTCAAAACTTTTTGTTAGTACGTTGTTCTGTGTTTGTTTGACATAACATATTTCAAAATTACTAGTTTCTTAAATCAGACATTTTGAGATTCTTTTGATTTTTTTTTCAATTTTCCCTTTTAATCACTATAATTGTAATTTACATTTTTTTAAGGTGTGGCTTACTTAAAACTGGAACAACATTTTAAATTCTTACAGTGACTCTAGTGGTCGGATTTGGAAGCTTTTGTCGTCTATGTGCTCCCTGTAGAAATAAAAACACACGAAGATTATTTTTTTTTGCAGCGCAGTTCGAACGTGCTTCAGAGAAATTCAGCATGGAAGAAGAAAGAATGATGATTTTCTGGATTAAATATACAAACAATAGTTATATAGCTTTTTAGTCAACTGAACGTGAACATCCACAGACCCTGACAGAGCCCTTCGTTCCTATATGTTTCTCTGACTGTTCAAATAAAATAAATATTTACATAGTTGGAGATGCTTAACGACCCATATCAGACAGTGGTAATTTTATACGATAGATGAGGAGTCAGTAAGTAAAGAGTTGATAGTTTCGTTAGAGTACGGCAGTGTGAAAATTTCATATAAGGGAAATGGCTCTAATGTTGGCCTATGGATCTAAGATTGGTCCCATCGCTAAAAATCTGCTATTTACCAATTTTATCTAGATGAACGCGTCATTGGGATGATACTAGTGGATATTTTTGGTCGCTATTGAAAATCTAGTCGATTATTGAATTTATGTATGGGCCCAAATTAGGGACATTTACATCAATTTCCCTTACATACAGATTTGCATAGCCGAGTGCTCGGCAATCTGTTTTACTGAGATTTAAGGAAAAGTGTCGTTTGGTTGCTGAGTCTCGGAAAATGTTTTGCTGAATATCAACAAACAAACGACATGTTTGCTGAGATCTCAGTATAACTGATTGCCGAGCGTTCGACTGTGCAAATCCCGACAAAAAATTTCTGAGCTGGCGAAAAACAAAACTAGGGGAAATGTAGGTAATGTCTGCCTACATGCCCCAAATTTGGGCCCATCGATAAAAGTCTGCTATTTATCAATTTTATCTAGATGAACGCGTTATTGGGACGTTACTATGGATATTTTTGGTTGCTATTGAAAATTTAGTTGATTGCTGAATTTATGTATGGGCCCAAATTAGGGACACTTAGGCCGACATTACCTGCATTTCCCCTATATGTAGAGAGTAGAAAGCGATCAAAGGTTTATTTTCAGGAAGGTACGAATCAGGTTTATCATTTACAGTAGCAGCACCTCTTCTAACCGTGTCTCCTCGAGACCGTTAAGTTAACGATGACAGGGGCACATACAGCGTAGAGGCAACAATGGCTGCAATTTCCAAACCTATCGACTAGATCCTTACACGCTACTTCAAAACTACCCAAATTAGGGTAGAACCCATCAGATCAGTCAAAACTGAACCTACCCAAAAATAGGTAAACTATGTTGGGAGTGAGAAGTTGACATATGAACATAGTCGATCGGATTCATTTCGATGTTGTCCACTTGTCAACTTGTCACTCCCAACATACTTTACCCATTTTTGGGTAGGTTCAGTTTTGATCGATCTGAGTGGATTCTACCCATATTTGGGAAGTTTAGAAATAGCGTGTATGTCAGAAGACGACTTGAGTGTGAAACAAACAATAGAACTGTTTCCGCGCATCGAAGGTACGCCAGGGGTCGTTTGGGACGATCTTTGGGCAGTTCCATGAATATTAAAAAAAAAAAATCGGGAACTTCAGGGAAGATCCGAGAATTTCGAGTAAATTTCGAGAACTTAATGTAATTTGCATTAATTTCAGGAAAATAGCGCGAACTCTGAAAAATACAAGAAAGTCCAGGGAAGCTAAAAGAACTAAGAGAAATTCATAGAAGTTTCACATTAACGGATATCCAGAAAACTTTGGGGAAGCATACATTCTTCAGTTTGACAAACAGAAATGAGCATTGTAGTGTAGTTACCAATTTTCCAAGTCATAGACTTCAGATAACTGTTCAACGTCCCAGATTTTTTTTAACGGAATCATGAACAAAAAACCAAAGACCACTATGACAGTTTTTGAATTGCGGAACTCTTCGGTAAAATTTAAAAAATCTGTGGAAAATTCAAAGTTGAGAGTGTTACGAAAATTTACAGACTAACTTCTGT